TTTTTTCCCTTCTACTTCTGACTTCTATTCTTTACATTTTCACACAAGTATCTGTACTTTCTATAAAGCTTTGTATTAAGCGGAAAAATCAACAGCACAGCGTTCACAGCCCAGTGTGATGCATTCACGAGCATCAGAGAGCTATGGTGCATTCAGGAGCATGGGACATTTCATACTTACAAGGAAAAAGGCAAACGGAAAAGAACTTAACTCATACAATAATGTATTCATACAATAATGTACTCATACAGTAATGTATATTCAGAAACATTGTGGGCTTTCCTACAATACTGAATGCTCTATAACTGTATATCTGTTATTTTTTGATTATGCACATCTGCTAGGTTTTTATTCTAAAAAAAAACTATATTACAGCAGCAAATTTTCAAAGTTTTTCAAAAGCCTGTTTAAAAGCTCCAAATGAGGTTTTCAGATCAGACAGCGACAATTACGCTGTCATTGTTTTACAGGCAGAATTTGCATTTGCTGACCCTTGTCCTTTAACTACTGATTGATATACAGGAATACAATGTCAAATCCTCTGAGATAGCATGGGATGCAATTGTTGGCAATATCTTTTTTTTTTATTATTGTTATTTAAAAATTCAATGTATAATATGAATGCATAAATACCTGATTTTATTTCAGTGTTAAATTCTGTTTAAAGTAACGTGACTGGTTTAATGTTTATAAATATTTATTACACGTCATGTGCGCCATGCAATGCAGATCATTGGTGCCATCCACATCTAGTGAAAACTAGTGTAATTGGATGAGTCATATAACGCAAACACTCATTGGTTAGCTAAAGGAAATCATCAGAAGCAAGCAGGTGTTCTTCAAACTGCAAACGTGAATTGTCTTATCAGAATTGTCAACAATGTCAGATTCAGAAAAAGATGTTGAAATTTCTTAAAGGTCGGACACAGCCGAGAGCGTATCGGGAGATGGAGACCAACAAGTCCTCCCTCATCCTTGGCCCTATCTCAAAGAATTTTTTAGAAATAGTCGAAAAATTTTGCTTTCAATTCATAAAGTGGAATCTGGCTTGTTTTTTAAAAGGTTACTTTATACTTTCATACTTTAAGTAGTTTTTGGAGCACATACTTTTTAACTTTTACTTGAGTAAAGAGGTCAAGTTGATACTTCAACTTTACCAGAGTGTTTTTAAACTGCAGTTTCTATACTTCTACTTAAGTAACAAATGTGTGTACTTTTGACACCACTGATGAAAATGGCCTAGTCAAAGCACAGAAGTAAATGCAAGAATATGAAAAGCTGTAGGGCACAGTTCATCATCATCGAATCTGGTTGATGGAAAAAAAAAAAAAGCAAAAAAAAAAAAAAATCGCAAGCCAACAGTTAGACAATTAGAAGAGGCATTCTCAAGAAGACAGGCATCTGATCTGATATTACTGCACTAAAAGGGGAAAGGTATAAATGTGATACTGTAAATGAAAATAAACTCTTTGTGAAATAAAAATAACAAGGTTTATGCCCAGGATGCTCCCTCATAAAGAACTAATCAGTATATTTTAAACCTCACTGGGAGCTCAATTTAAATACAGCTAGAGGCCAAGAGAAGATTAATTATGCTTTATTTGGAAATATAGACTTTTTCTGCCTGGAACATCCATCCATTTTTTGACACACTTAATCCCAACCGGGGTCACGAGGGGTGCTTGTGTCTATCTCCAGCTGTCAATGGGCGAGAGGCAGGGTCCACCCTGGACAGGTCAGCAGTCCATCGCAGGGCAACACAGAGACAAACAGGACAAACAACCATTTACACAGACTTACACCTAAGGAGAATTTAGAGAAGCCAATTAATCTAGCAGTCATGTTTTTGGACTGTGGGAGGAAGCCTGAGTACCCGGAGAGAACCCACGCATGCTCAGGGAGAACATGCAAACTCCACGCAGAAAATCTACCCGCAACTTTCTTGCTGCAATGCTACCCACTGGGCCGCCCCCTGCCTGGTACAAACACACACGAAAAAAATAAAACAATAAAAAAAATAAAATTTCTTTCTTCTAGAACTGACCCTTAAAACTTCACTTCAAATCGCTTGTTATACACAAGAGTGCCACAGTTATTATTAAGTAATGCCATATTTTAATCGAGAATGCAAATTCAATAAAAAAAATTCCTGCATTTCATTTACAGCCCATTTTTTTGTCGTCATGGTGTGTTTTAAATGAATAAAAGTCTGATAGCAAACTTTTAGAGGTATTCTACACCTTTGTTCTTATGTCTATATGATGCTGCTGCCTAGTTTGTACTATTAAAACAAGGACAAAATGGTCCAAATCAATCCTAATCATATAATATTTAACATCGTTCACAGGAAATTAAATGATTTCTAAATACTTTGTAAGTAACTCTGAGTAGATGGCAACGAAGCCTTTTTATTGGACTAAATAGGGTGAATACCAGCAGATGTAGTGGTGCCATTTAGATTTGACTGATCTTATAAAAGAGCTCCTGGGCTATATCTTGGTTCTAGTCCTAAGAGAAAAAAAATATGAAGTGATCAACAGGAATAACTCCATACATCACTTTCTGCTTTCAGTGCAGAGGATCAGCCAATTCCCCCTGGAGGTTTATCTGTCAAGTCTTATAACAGCATAACCCGTTTATACGAGCTCCCTGGCAGAGCAGACAAACTACAATGTGGGCTAATTGCTCTGGCATTTGTGAAGCCTCTCCATCCACCTGAGCAAAGAGAGCAAAATCAGCACCCAGTTACGCTGGTTTTGTTCAGCGGGTTCACAATAGCTCGTTAGAGGCTCCTCGATTCACAGCAGGTAAACACATCATGACCCAAAAAAAGCCACTATCATAAAGACCATTGCCAAAACATTAACACCACTTGACATTTCTAGGCAGCTAAAGAGTTTTGTTTGCTTTTCCTGAAGGCAGTTCTTATGAAATCAGAATAATAATGGAAAATATATGGACAATTCAATGGTTTGTTGTCTTTAGTTCTGACAATTGAGGCTTATCATTTTCTTCTTTTTGAAAAACAAAAAATAAGATGTTTTGTTTTCAAACAACTATTTAAAAAACAAATTTGATCCATGCTTTATTACCCTGTCCGACGTCTGCTTTTCCCATTATTCGAAATCATTCAACTTTGACAGGATAATTAGCTTGAAACAAAGAACTATAACAAGTATTTGGTAAAATGGCTTCTATTCTAACCAGTAAAAAGCTTTAACATTCATCAATCAGCTTTATTGGCCACAAAACAAAGAACCTGACATTGTTACAGATTGAACGAACTAGAGGAAATAAAACGAGGGTTTAAAACATATGCACATTAAAAAATATGGCCAGAATATTTGATTTTTTTCCCATTCTTTTCTTATTAAATATATTTTCCGGATTCTGGATACGTTTTACTCTTAAATAACCCCATAATTACAGCTATTACCTGCTGTGGTTGTCTAAATTTTAACGCTGGATCTTTCTATCATTTGAAAGTTTTTTTTGTTTTTTTGTTTTTTTCCACCCTAGTAAATTACATTTTATTTTTATAAAAATTACATTTTCACTAGCTTAAGATACCTGACAGACACAGAACCTGTGGAGTGAAGAAAACCCATCATTAGAACCCTTCAGGCAGCTTGAAGTAGGCTAAAACTCGCCAAAAGCCACACATTCTGCCTTGCACTACAAAAATGTTGGGAAAATGTCTTTAAATAAGAGTTTTTACCTCAACTTGAGTAGGAAAATAAGATGATCTACCAATGGAATGATCATTTTTAATGCTTAAAATAATCTGTGTGTGTGAATGGGTGAATGACTGAATGTAGTGTAAAGCGCTTTGGTCAAGTCTACTGACTTGAAAAAGCGCCCAATTCAAGAGAAAAAAATAATCTTATTTAGATTTATATTTTTTGGAGTGTGACCTAAGGAAATCTAGGATAAGCCAGTTATGCACAACTTTGCATCGGTGCATTATTTAAAATTTCAATAAAGTATATTGGTGATGGTTGCAGCGTGATAAACCATTAAAAAAAAAAATAAAGGGGTGTTGAGGTTTTCCCAGGTCATTGTTCAACCCATGTACAAACCACCCCCCTCCCCAACATGCAGACACACTGGCTTCCAGGTAAACAGGGATCATTTAACCCTTTATAGGGCAAGTTACCGTTTTTCATCACTTGCATACCCATTACAAATGGAGTACCCCACTGTCCCTCAGTGACGTCTAGAAGCACAAGATCTATATCCAGCCATTCAGCAAGGATACATCTACATGGCTGTGCATCTTATTTTGGAATTTGACCAATTAGACCCTTGTATGGTATATTACAGTTGAAAAAAAGTTAAGTCAAGAAAAAAGTTAAGAAAGCTGATTGAAAAGTAAAAAAATGTAATAAGCCTATTTAACAATTATATTGTAAATGTAAGTGCCAGTATCAGCATTAATGCCTCCAAGGTTATGTTGTACCAAAAAAATGTGTTTCTTTAACTCGGTGTTTTTAATGAATTTCTAACAGAATCACTTTTATTTTTGTTATTATATTCGGCCAAATTAGAGTTTCTTTTTATTAAATCGGCAATAATTTTTGCCATCAAAATATCCATATTTTTTCAGTGTTACAGAGGTAATAAGGTCTTGTCCTGGATTCCAATAACACTATTGGCTTAAATTTTTGCTTTTCAAAGCATTGCACTGAGGGTTAATGAGATCCCATACTGTTAAGTTGACATTTTAGCGGTTTATTTTTATTATTATGGCCTGTTTGTTCTGGTTCTGGAAGTGGCACTAAAGAGGGCGTTAGGAAGTGGGAGGGGGTCCAATTGTGCAACACTCCTCCCAGGGAATCTCCTCCATCATCCTGCCTGGTTTCTACCTTTTCCCATCAGGTTGGTTGTTTGAAATAGATACAAAAAAAGCAAAAAGACTCATAATAAATAAATAGATAAATAAAAACAAATAAATAAAACAGCGAGAAGAGGGAAGGTAATGGGAAGCAGTCGCTCCTTACCGTCAGGTTGGTGTGTGTGGCTCCACAGCCTCTCCTTCCTTCTCGAGTGTATGAAGAAAAAAACTATTCAAACCAAAAGGTAATCCTCATCCGACTGGGAAATCCACGATGGAGAGAATTAGCTGCGATATCAGCGAGCTCTCCACTCCAGACAGCCTCAGCTGAAAGGAGCCAGTGAGTGAGTTCTCCGCTCCTTCCCCCCGATCAGAGCTCCCTGCTCCTCCTGCTCCTCTTGCTGCTCCTGCTGGTGGTGGTCTCTCCTCTGTAACGCTATCCCGTCCACTCCTCCAACATAACCTTTATGGTTTCGCAGAAGGTCGCTTTAAATCCGCGCATTAACGCCAAGCTTTCAGTTTGCGCACCAGCTACTGAACAACAAGCAGCAGAGCGCAGCGGCGGCGCAACACGACTGGCTGCCAGACTGGGTGGGCTGAGCCCCCCTCCGACAAATCCTCAGGAAAAAAAAAAAAAAAAAAAACAGGATCTTCCCAGGCTTCTTTTAAAATATGAGGAGCAAATGAGCTTTGCATAACAACAAGCAGTCCGCCAACATCCTACTTTGTTTATGCTGAAGCATGTGATGGCAGCATGGCGTGCCTTTTTTTTTTAAAGGGGAATCAACGCCAAAGTGCAGGCAGCTGGGCTGGGCAGGGTGGGAGGAGATCCTAAAAGCTTCCCTCTGGACTTTCCGAAGGATGCGCTTCACAGTAACATGGGTCTCAAATTTAGGGCTGAGCTCAGGTGTAACTGAACTTTGTCCCCCTTTAGAAGTCTCCTCCCCACAAGCACTGGGGGCCCCAGGCAGGGGCGTAGCCAGAACATTTTTATAAGGGTGGCCAGGCGATAACAAATGTACACTGAGGGGTGGCCCAAAAGTGCAATGGCATAAAGGGCTTGTTATACTCCTGCAGGTGTGTAGCTGTGAGCTTGACGCAGACATTTTTAATTTATGCTCAATATTAAAGCGTGGTCTGCGCTATACGCTGTGGGTCTAGATGCGGCCAAGGTGATGAGGAAGTGGGGGCCAGTTTAGTCGATGACGGAGGGACATGACGGCAAAAAAAAGAGAAGAGCCAAGTTAAAAAAGGGTCCCATGTCACGGATCACGGATTGGTTGAGGTTTGAGGACCCAAATGCAGAGGCAGAGAGGCCGAGGAGATTTCTTGCAGTTTAATTGAAGAAAACAGTTAACAAAGGCAGGAATCCAAAAATCCAACTTAAAATTTAAAGCAAACCAGAACCATGGAGACATCAGGGGAAACTGAACAAGAGGAGCCAGGGAGAGATGAGGTAGGAAGAAAACAGCCTAGAGAAACCAGCAACGACAAGGAACCAACAAGAAGTGACAACAGAGGGAGAGAATACATAGCTGACTGAGACAAAGGCAGGGCTAACGAGCAGATAAGGAGCAGGTGTGAGTGGAGGCAACGAGGAAGCCAAGGGGAAAGGAACACACACACACACACACACACACACACACACACACACACACACACACACACACACACGAGGGGAACAGAGGACAACAAAGAAATACCTGAGAACTAAGATATATCCAGAAAATACAACGAAATAGGAATTAAACCAATAAAACTAGAAAACATGGAGAAAAGTAAAGCATAACAGAACCAAGACCGTGACATTCTCGCGCACTTCGACCTTCTAGCTGGTCAAACTTCAAGAGTTGTTTTCTGCAATTTCGGTCGTAAAAACAAAACAAGCCGGCCTCCTGTCCGCAGCACTGTCTGCGGTCAGTTACAATTTGGGAGATGTGCAGCAGCAGAGTGCCTGCGGAGGGGGCGGGGTCGGCTTTTTGTTCACTGTGACACCTACGCAGAGGACCTGGTTTCGAAGTATAAATCAGCCTTAAATATCGGTAAGCAGAGACTGCATTTGCTTACGGGCCCCCAACTTCTTAGGGGCCCCATCACTGACACTTGGTTGGCCCCCTTGGTGCAAAAAAAATCCTCTTTAAAGCCATCGGATTTTAACATGAATGACCAGACCTTATTTATATCCCAAGACCTGCCAGATGTCAACATGATGGTGAGCCCTTTAAATATGACACCTATAGCAAAGCAGACAGTGGTACATTTATTACTGTGTTAATAACTGGGTATAGTTTATTAGACGGTTGGTAAAAAATATGTTCATATAATATCTTTCAAACTGCAATAAAGATCTTAAAAGAACAATGTATTTGAGTATTTTATTTTTTACCCTACGACTTGGAATTATGAGTAATCCAGAGTGTTGTACTTCATATGGGGCCCACCCAGATAATGTTGCTTACAGGACCATTGTTGTGTCGTTACGCCATTGCAAAAGTGGATAGGCGCCAGAATCTCAGGGTCAATCTATACTGTTCCAAACGGAAAATGAACAACCACAACATCCATATTTTCTACATAAAGACTAACTATACTTTCCTACAGCCTTTGCTAACAAATAGACGCATATATTTAAACATCCATGATGTCTAAATTAAAGGTGTCATTACTTATCTACTTTTATCAGAAATTGTTCTGCATAAAATTAACATTTACATGCACAATTATATCTGCATTAAATGGATTAGTTATTATTAAAGCAGGTATTTACTTGTGATTTCATTGAAGACTCATAGATGACTTGCAGAAAAATAATTTTATCTTTACCCTATAAGACAAAATCTAGTTCTGAAAAGAGAAAATATTCTGTATTTATCATCTTTAATCTTTGTATATTGATGTGCATATTTAACCAAAGTGTTTTTGTTATCAAGTAACTGTTAACATATAAAAAATTTAAATGTTAAATAAGTCAGAATATTCCACTCAAGAGTATTGCTGCTGCCACCGTCTGTATTAGAGGGAGAAAAATGGTAGGGGCGGCCACAGGGGTGAGCAATGATTGGCTGAGGGTGGCCATGGCCACCCCTGGCCCCCCATCTAACTCCGCCCCTGGCCCCGGGGGGCCTGAAATCAAACAGAATAGGCTAGTCCCCTAACTCCACTTGGGTCATAAAGACACTGGCATTGCTGGATAATATGAGGTCGGGATCTACAGTAAGAGTCTTCCCATTCCTTTCTTTTTATCAAACACCTCTTCCCTTCTACTCAGACTAAGACATTTTTTTGTTTATTTTATTGTGTTACCTTCTGCTGTTGATTGGTAGCACAAACCATCCATTTTAGCCCAGAGAGTCAGAAGCACCCACAACTAAATTGGCCCTTTCACAAGCCAACAATCTCCACTGGTAACTGGGATTGCTGTAGAAAACAACCAGGACAGGTCAGGCAAACTCAGCAGAGGGGCCCCAGGGCCCAGGGTGTAGGGCCACAAATACCAGGAATCTAAATATAGATCAATGATGCGACATCGCCACGTCGTTGTTTAAAACTTTATGTAGTTGCAATTGAAATTCTTTATTTCTTTTTTGAAATGTTAATGGTTACCTCAAAAGTAAAAATATCTTACTGTGAGTTAAAAGGCAACTGAAAAAAATGTGTTGATAAAGCAATATCTATTTCCAGTCAAAAAGGTGATAGTGTGTCAACCCCATTGGTTGACCATTTAAGGATGGGTGTGGCCAGCGATGCAACACCATCAGCAGAGTTGTTGTAGTAATAAATTAATAAATATATAGTTCTACTCAACTTAAAATAAGTTACCAATGCAGTCTGATGTCTGAATAGTGTCTGAAATGCTAAGTGGTAAGACACTTAAAGGTATTGTAGAGGATTTTCGTGAATTTTTTACACAGTCCAACCCTTTCCACTTAAAAAAAAATGCATGTTTTGTTTAAAGGTTGCTGTTCATATAGCTCATAAAAGCTTACTGTGCCTGAACGTCCGCACTAACCCTTACTTCCCTCAATCACTATATAGAGCGGGGACTATATAGGGGACTTTATAGTGAATTCAGTCAACTAACCGCTCAGGCAGATGGTCACTGCTTTTTGCTCCGTTGGTCACGTAACTCCTCCTTCACTGCGCGGTGCCTGCGCCATCTTTGTTATTACGGTAGTTGCCAATGTCAATTATTGACAGCTTCTTTAGAAGCCTTAAGGCTGAGCATACACTGTACAATATTTTCAATCATTGTACTCAGCCACAACTTAAACAGTACGACGAAACCGCAGGGTTTAAAAGTTCACTGCTCCCGATGTATGTTCTTACACTGTGCAGTCCGATGCTCTGATGCGATCTGATTGCTCAAACTGCATGTCCAAAAACCACACATTGGACTCACCGCCGAGAGATGGCGCTGGTCAGACTTGTCAATCTGGAAGAAGAAGAGGAATTCCCTTCTTTGCACATACAAGGTGCTTGAGGCTCTGGATGCTCATATCTCTGCTTAAACACCAGGATTTAATCATGAACACCTTATGAGGGCTGAGTGAAATTCAAACATATTTAATTTTCTCCTGACCTTACGATTCCTGATTGTGAGGTGATCATGACAAGCTAATAACCTCTAGTTACCCCCTGTATACGACACAATGCAGGACGCACAATGAGGCTAAAACTTGGCCTCAAATTCTCGCACGACTGGAGAACTGGCACAAAAAAGGGCCAAAACTTGTACAGTGTATGCCCAGCTTAAATGGAAAATATTAATATAAGTTATCTAAAGCTGTTCTTTTAAATATTATGTTTCTGTATATTCACGATTCAGGAATATTACATATCTGTTTACTTCTTTTAAATAAAAATCAAGTTTTATATCATTATTAAAAAAGAAAAAAATAAGTAATGGGTTAAGGGGACCAATCAGTTATTATGTCCTTTCCAGTTGGTAACGGCCAGGACGAGTTCTACAGGGGCACTGGCCCCCATTGGCCCTTTTCTAGAATCACCCATGCCCGGACAAAGTTCAAACCATTACTACCATCTGCAAAGACCATATTATGCCTTATATGATTAAAGGAATGACTTCACAGTTGTCCAGTGAACACACTTTATTACCCTTCATATGGTGCTAAGCCATGATAGCTCAGTACTGTAGAGCAGAGGTCTTCAACAGGGGGTGCGTAACCCCAAGGGGGTCCCCGGAGGTACTGCATGGGGGTCACAAAAGTTTTGACGGTTTATACTTTTTTTTATATTCCCCCCTGCAATTTTTTCCACTAATTGAAATATCTTTAAATACACATTAATATGAATTCAACACACTGTAGTAAACAGATAAATGGAGGCAGAAGATCAATGCAAACATTCAGCAACACTAAGGAGCTGTTTCAAGCTGGGCAACGTTTCATTCACAACACCTATCCCATCAACGAGGAAACAGAATCAGAAATACTTTAATAACCCCAGGGCAAAACTACTTTCATTACATTACTCCATCTGTAATAGAGAGACTATAGCGGCAGTTTAACATAACACAATTTCATACAATATATATAATTAGGGGGTCCCCGCTCCATCTCACCATCAGTTTGGGGGTCCTTGGCAAACATTGAAGACCCCTGCTGTAGAGGATTCATGTAAATTCATGGTCTGTTCTAGTATCATGTCAACTATTTTGATTTAAATCAGTGTGAACATCTATAATAGATTTTAGAACATTTGATGGGTTGCAACACTAAAAACTCGTGTTGACAAATAAACAGCTCACTAGATGACCTGGTTTAC